GGCAGTGGCTACACCTCTGCAGCACACCAGAAGTGAACAGTGAGGTTTGCAGGGAGCTGATGCCCTCTGCTGGATGCAAGGAACTTTAAAAACACTCTTTGAAACGCTGCTCTTCTCAAGCAGGTTAGTAAGTTTTGAACAGAACCCCTACAGAGTGAACGGGACATGTTAATCACAGTCGTTCACACCTACCTACAGAACTTTTAATATGTGCTTGGAGCAGAGCTGTTAATTTGAAATTTATACAGCCAATGAATGAACATAAGAACAGTTTGGGCAGGGCTTCCACTTTGGTAGTCTAAGATGCAACTGAAGATCTTTAAATACAAGTACAGTCTTTTTAATAAACTGTTCCTCTAGTATTAGTGGGATTTAAAAGCATGTATAATGTAAAGTTGGAGAGAAGTGGTTAACCAATTTAAGTAAAGAAACACTGTCATTATGACAATAACTGATTAGAAGTCAGTATGAATGTGAATAAAACTTCAGAATGTTTTCTTGAAGAATTATTGGGGAATACTATCTAGGCTGTGAGGGGGAAGGTGTTAAATAGGAGTTACTACATGTTTGTACATCCTCCATTCTGTTGAGAAATTAGTTGAAACATGCTGAAACTCTGTATTTATTGACATAAGTACGACTAAAAATGCAACCTCCTAAAATTAGTGGGAAACAAACAAACTGGAAGCTTTGCTTGTTTTTTCATGAGACTAGAGGAACTCAAAGGCTTTAATGCTGATTCTAGCAAGGTAAGTAGTAGCTGTTTTTGTCGCATAAGACAAGTGTGCACGTGACCATTTAACTTCTCTGTAGTTAGGTCAGTTTGGGATTTCAGTGTTTGCTCTTGTGCAGTTGCCTATTGGTCTTTTCTGGCTAATATTGATAGCACCTAGACTGAAAAGAACATTCAAACAGGTCTAAAGTAGTCACCTTAACTCAGTTTCCTGCTTTTTCCTCCATCCCTCCTCCCTCACATTAGACAACATTAAGGCCTTGAACCTGTCCTTGTTCATACACTCATTTTAAGCAGAAGTATTTAGTTTTTCCAATAAAAGATTTCTCCTGAGAAAGCTAGCTGGAACACCCCCCTCATTGTATCTGTCTCATAGGCTTGGTTTCAGTCAGTCTCACTTCATGAAAGTAATCAATTGTTCTGGACATGCTTTGAGTTTTCTGTGATCTTTTTGAAGTATTAAGCTTGTAACATCAGCTTTAACTGTTAATATAGGTGATTACATGTTCACCTTGCTCCTCATGTACTAAATTTGATGTGAGTTTCCCTGTGAGAAATAAACCAAAACAGTATTTAGCACTGTACTTGAGATCATGTATCTGGAGCTTCTGTTCAATAAAACCAAATTGATCAATGGGACATGCATTATTCACAAACCAGATTTTTCTATTGTCACTGACTTCTGTCTTTTGAATATGTGAAGTTTGTCTAGGCATTAATTTTTGCAATTAATATCTAAGGGCAGAAGTTAACTTCTCTTAAAGAAGAAGTTCTCTTTAACGCAGGCAGAGCTGCGAATGGTTATAGCAAAATTATGAACTGTGCCTTTTATGGAAAGTAGTTGTTTCTTTTGGCTATATTCAGTGGAACATACTGTTTGATAGGCTTAGTTGGAGTACTTCTGAAAGATTATATGAGTTATTGGGAACGTTACTTTCAGATCCCAATGATATTAGGCTGTCGGAATAACTTTCTGCGGTGTTTAACTTAGTAAAGCCATGAATTTCTGACTTACCTGGATGGTTTTAAGTTTTAAATCTAGCAGGAGGGTAAAATTTGACTTGTAACAGTATGTCTCTAACAGATGCAAACAGCAGGGGGACATGGTAGTGTATGAAGACATAATATTGTGCTGAATGCTAGGCTTGCTAAGGAAATACTCCGTAACTGAGAGTCCAAAATATGTAAGCAGGGCAACTGAACAGCCAATACTAAAAAACTTTATACAGGAAAAATTTAATGCTTCCTTTAGCTTCTGCAGCAATCAACAGTGCTCAGTACTTACTACAGGTTTTCTGTCAAACAGCAGCTCTACACAATTTGTTAGAAAAGAACTTGAGTGACTTATTTGGGAAAGTCAACATTACTAGTGTAAAGTGAGAGACTGACTGTATTAGCTTATCAGAGACTTAACGGAGATGCAGAAAAATGTTCTAATAATGGGATGCTCTGGACAATTTAAGCTATGGGTGGATTTGAAAGCATTTCACTTCATTGAAATTCAACAGCCACTCAGCCATTCAAAAGCCCAACCATGGGATTAGGTGTTAATAAGTTTTATTCAACAAATGGAAGCTTGTTAAGAACAGCTACTGCTGATTCTGGTCAGATCTTAAAAAAAATAAATAATAAAAAAAACAACCGACCATCAAGCTTACAAGATTGAACTGACTTTCTTTCCCCCTCCCTTTCATGAAGGAATATATTAGTATTTTCATCTAATACAAAATCGTTTACAAGCTGTAACAGTTTCAAATATGGATCAAGCATGTGACTTAAACTACTGTTAGGATAAGCATGTTTTGTAGTCAACAAAGTGAATTGTATTAAATGCTATTTGCATGTAATGGAAGCCACAGATATTACTTATTTTGGTGTTTCTACCTGGAAAAGACTGAAAAAATCTGCATGATGATTCTTGTGGCTGGAAACCAAGGCTAATGAGACAAGCATGCATTGTTTGTTCTGATCAAAAAAGAGTCTATTTATTTTCTAAGCAGACCTAACAAATGTAGTACAAAACAATACTTCACTAGGACCAGCAGGATGTCAGTAAAACTCAAGGCGTAACTTTGGATTTTGGGGTGAGAACCTTTGTGACACTTAGCAGAAAATAAAATACTCTAAACAAATAGCAAGATTATGTAACTTTACCATGTAAAAGCCTTAAGAAAGCAACAGTTAAGAGTATTCTTGAATAAATCTGATGCAACAAACATGCAGGTCTTCCAAGTCTGTCACAGAAGTATAAAGTTCATCCAGCACGTAACACAAATACCAGGGAATAACACATCAAATGTCAACTAATATTTCAGTTACAAAATCTCATTTCCATACATCTTGTAATTTTGCAAGTTTTAAAGTTCCTGAAGATAAATGCTGTATGAAGCAAAAAAATTCAACTGTTTTTTGTAGCAGTCTGGATATTCTTAGTTTGGGAACACATACTTGAATTCATTTCAGCTGCATGTAAACCTTTACCTTAAAAACAAGCAAAAAGAAAAAAGAGGAGAGGGCTGTTGAAGTACCCGTACAGTCCAATTATAGACTGATTACAAATACAGCAAAACTGGTTTCTGTGTAACAACTGAAACAAACAGTACCATAATGAAATACTTTGACATATTAAGCTGTCAAGGCATTGAAAAGTAACGCTTTAACAGTGAGGCTCTTAAATTCATAAGGATAACTTGATCACAGATCCCAGTAGCTTGGATGGGATCTGTTATTCTAAATACCCTTGAATCAAATGGAAATGACTGACTTTCAGGTGTAGCTGGGGTAATCTATAGAAGATGTAGCATTCACTATTAATACTGGAGAGAGCTTTATTAATACTGCATATAACTTCAGTGGTAACTTAAAATAGGAGAGTTTCACAAAAAACCATGAGATTCTGAAAGATGAGGGATACATGGAGATGGCAAAAGCAGTATAGGAAGTGATGGTGAGTGGCTAATGTGTCACAGGAAAATAGCACCTTTATATGTTATTATAGTGCAAGACTGTTCAATGAGAACTTAGATGACAAGACAGTACAAGATAGAGAGAAATGCAACAACAAGTAGTATGATTAAGAAAATTTTCATAATCATACTGGGATTGAATATGAAAGCACATTAGTCATGTAGATTGTGATAAATCCAGTGGATTTCATAAAAAAATAATTTGTTGTGTTTAAGCATGGAACATCATACATCCAGGTTAAAAAAAAAAGCATATGCACTAACCAAGGTGCTTATTTCGAATGATTTCTCCTCCTTCAATCTCAATCTGCTCATATAGCCACTTGCGGTCACAGCGACATTCAGCTCCACACTTATTGGAGCCACATTTTGGGCAAGCATAGAAACACCCCAGGCAATCTTCATCAAGACAGTCACAGAGGTCCATCCCACTGTAAAGCAGTAGTCCCTGGCTATCGTAGACCTTACTCTTGGCTGGTATAACTTGCCTGTATGATGAAAAACAACACTTATTTCCTTGTGAAAAAAGATCCACACATTTTGATGCCAAGCAGCTAACAGATGTGGACAGAAGTTTGCTTTTTTGAATTTTTTTTTGAATTTTAACACTGCATTAATTTAAGATGTTAATGTACTCGACAATGTTTCCCAGCTTCATATTATATTTCCAGTATAGTGCTTTTGAACTCATTTCAGGAACAGGAAGCTTTTACTTCTTCAATACTTCAAATATTTATTAGTAATAACACTTAGGAATATTTATGAGGTTAACTTTTTATTACTTTTCAAATGATGTGAAGATCTCCCTTAATTAAATGTAAGGATTTGACTTGCACAGTTTTGTTTCTGAAGTGCAATTACTGAGTTTATTGAAATATGACAACTCCATTATTTCAAGTGTACTTAACCTTACTGTATTCAAGTTTAATCTATTATCAGATTTTTATGCGTAAATTAAAAGCTTCATCTATTATCTGTGCAGTACTGTCACACCTAACAAAAAGTTTGTTTGTATTTTAAGCACCTGAAATATGGACTGTCTGCTATCATTTTACCTTGTTTTGTTTACATCAGTGAGTAACCTTCAACACCCTCAAAACAAAAAAGCTACCCCCAGACAAGCAAAACATCCTCTATATAGAATACATTAATGTTATAGGGACATCAACTATCAATTTCTTTATTTTTAAGATAAAGCTAATTATAAATTAGGTAATTCCTGTAAATACAGGAAGCTGCTCACCTGTCTGAATTAAATGATGTAGTTTTTGATTGCAGCCTTCTTTTTTCCCTCTTACTAGTCTCAGGAGTGAATTCAGTCTGCCGCCCTGGATTAGCAAACTGAAGAGACTTCAGAGCCTTAGCTGTACGTCCCTGAACAGACAGAAAATCTCACTTCATTATGAATACAAAGGTAAATTCGTAAGAAAATATACAGTTTAACCAGATTACTGCAATAACTTAGCGTTGAGGTCAACAGTTTACTAAGCATTGGAGAAGACTTAAGTTGTAAGTGTTATACTGGAGAACTGTACCTGGTCCCAAAAAGTACTACCACAAGCTTTATAGTAGTTTTAATCAATATTTTCACGTTTCTTCACCCTTCCCTCCCCCCTGCCATCAGTGTCCTGATCGGACGCTGACAGGCATATTGAGAAATATAGCTGGATAGCTGCTCCTCAAATGCTGTTTTACTATAGAGCATATGAGGATGAGCTCTTGCTGATTTTGTTTCCCACACCCGCAAACTTCTTGAACAAAGCATCCAAAAATGTACAAGCTGTATTCTGATTTCAGTACTTGAAGCGTCACCCTCCCACACCAGTTCCCCTGAACAAACACTGTGGCCTTCACCATTCAGACACCACACCAGAGTACACTTAATTCGTCTCAAAGCAGGTCCACTTGGTAACAAACTGCTAGAAACAGTGAATGTTTTTAAAACTGGAGACTAAATAAAGTTTATCTCAACATCCTTAGAAGCAACCTTTTGCAGTGTTCAGTTTGCTTGCTTTTTGCAAGGCTTGAGTAACAGCTTAAAATACTAGCAGCAGTCTGGTACTTACATAATTTTAAAGGAGTAAGTCACCCTAGTACGTGTAGTTACTTTAATTATAAAAGCCACAATATTTAATTAGGGAAGAGGATTTTTAAGGTAAAACAAGTGGAATGTGTGTATGCACTCATTTCACTGAGCAGTCCTTCAAGTAAAGGATTAAATACAGTAAATTACCATGCATCAAAAAGACTACACCCTTTCATAATTCTATTAGAAAAAAGTTTATGTAGCACTGAATGAAGCCCAGTTCCAATCGTTTTCAGAATTTAGAGGGAGTGGGAAAACTGATCCATATACATACGTCCGAATCAAGTTTTCTTCTTTGGCGCTCCTCAGAGTCAACATCCACGCTTCCATTTATGACCTGCATGCATTTAGGACAAAGTTTCCAGCCAGGTACAAACTGTCTTCCAAACTTGGCACTTAGAAAAGTTGCGTCATCTAAGTCAATTGCACGCAAGTTTTTCTTTGACAGCTTTCTGTGCATGTTAAAGGGATCACAACATGACTTTTGCAAGTCTTCAAATCTTTCAATGTAGATTTTTGCGTGATGGAAGCAGATAGTGTTGTTCTCTGAAAGGGACATTCCAGTCCTAAGCTGAAGTAACAGTAGATCAGACGATGATATATCTTGCTTAGTCTTGAAGCCAGTGTGACGGGTGTAATAGGTCTTATGACATTCATTGGCAGCTTGAAGCTGAACTCCAACTGAACAAGGATCCATTTTACTTTATCAGAACAACTTATTTCACTTATTTTGCCTAAAATGAGTTCTCTGAAGTCTCTAGTAGTTTCTGTGAAGATCACCCTAGAGAAAGCATTAAAATCAGATTTGTGCTGCAAACACAAATTTACACAGGTTTAAGTAGCTTAAAGTACATTTAAAGAAATTGTACTATGTCCTTCCAGTCTAGATAAGACTAAAAATACACTGAATGTCATTTTAGAATTAAGCCATGCATTTTATACTCCCTTCAGAGGCAATTTTTTCCAGCCATTGTAAGTATTGATTCAAAATGTTTACGCTAGTAGCAGCATTGCTTTCTCAAAGGCAATTTGGAAGGGAGGTGTGAGGTGGATGACTTGCTCAGACAGGAGCCTGCTCCGGACACCAGTTTCCTGAACAGGAGCAAGTCAATGCACAGAGAATGCCCCTGAGCCTTTCCAAGAAACATCAGCCCACGGTATATGTGAAGAGCGGCAGCTCTGCAGTGTGCGCAGTTGTTCTCGTCACTTGGCCTGTGCATGCAGCTCTTTCTACCTGAGTTCTGTGTAAATACTAAGCATACTGAGCAGTCATTTAAAGTTACCTGAACACAAAAACAACTACAAAAAATAAAGCTAGCTATTGCAGAGTGGTTTTGCCCATGCCAACGCTTGTTGCCAAGTCCAGTGCTAGCCCTAAAAATAAAAGCCTGAGCCAAGCTTGTGCTATTTTCTACCATAACAAAATGGGGAAAAAAATCTACCCAAGAAAGGAATTAATTTGCCTTCCAAAACCTCTGAAAGCCTTAACGTGACTATGACCTAACTGGGATTGTAATGTTCACCTATACGCTACTCTGCAAAGACGAAAATCAGAGAAATGAAAAAGCACAGTTATTAGTTCTAACATCTTTTTAATCGATGAAGATATCAGCTGGTTGTCTAACAGGCCAGGATGCTACTTCAATAAAATAAAAGCAAGTAGCATCACGCACAACCTAATGACGTGAAATGTGTTAAGTTTAACCAGTAAAAAGAAACATGAACATAGCAACTTTAGTGCAAAAGCTTATCACGGAGCAACAAGAAGTTAATAGGCCTTACACAACACCCAAAGTCACTTCCTAGGGCGTTTTTGCAGCAGAAATCCCCTTGACTGTAATGCTTTAGGTTGTTTGTTTTTTTTTAAACTAGGTGATTCGAAGCAGTTACAGCAACACACTTCTGCGTATGCACAGCAACTAAACATTTTGCACAGGACATGCTACTGTTGAGTGCTTCACCTGTTCCAAATATAAATGACACACTTGGCTATATTAGGCCAGTCAGCTTGTTTTAAGGAATAGGTTTGTATCTTGTGCAAGATGGAGCAGAGTATAACAATTATTTTTAAACCAGGTGTCTCAGCCTACTGTTACGAATGCTCGTGCTTTCAGATCTACAGTAGGAACAGCGGAGGCACTAAGAGTCCTGAATGTGGAGGGACAAGGTGAAAACGCCTGGGTATGAGAAGAAAAGCAAGTATCATTCTGAAAAGAAAATAAGGTTAGTTTCGTTTTTCTTTTTTCCACTTTATCTGTACAGAAAGACTTAAGTCAACAAGTTAATAGCTAAGGCTTATTTAACGTTGATTTCTCAGGTCAAAACCGAAACCCTTTTTTTAAGGACTGTTTTTAAGGACTACAACTAGCCCAGTCCTAAATCGCGAGCTGATCTGAGCTCATCTGTGCCGTGGTTTCTGTGTCCTAAGTCAGTTAACAAAGACCTCTCCTTGACGTCTGGGCCTTGCACAGCTCTTCAGACGCACACTGAATGCTCTGGGCAGAGGACAAGGCGTGGACGTGGGTGAAGTTTTAAGCATTTTTTCCTCGGTGCCTGCTTCCCAGCGCACCAGGCTGTGTCCCCATGAGCAGGCGCAGGCAGCGGAACATTTACGAGCTCTCACCGCGTGCCTGCAGCTTCCCTCTCCGTCAGAGAGCCACCCCACAACCCCCCCGCTCCCGTTAAACGCCGCTCTGCCCTCCCCAGCCGCCGCTACCTGCCAGCTGCCTCCACACCAGGCCCCCCGCGCCTCAGCGCCGCTCGGCCGCTTCCATCCGGCACCGCCTCAGCGCGGAGCGGCCGCTTCCGGCTGGCGGCGCCCCCTGGCGGAGCGGGGAGGGAGCGGGCGGCCGGCGCGTTCCCGCCTTGGGCGCGTGCTGCCGGGCTGGGCGCGAGGCGCGGCCGTTGGGCTGTGAGGCGGTCAGGGACAGCGCCCCTGCCTGTGGAGGCGGTGAGGGAATCCAAGACGGTGGTGTCAGCGGTGCCTAAAAGAAGGCTTTAAATAACCACTTACACTGGTAAAATTTATTTATTTATTTATTTATTTCCCTGTTTATATTTAGAATTTGAGCGTTTACAAACAAAAAAATATTGGATAGAAACTTTCTTCGACTCCTGCCCAGTAGTTTTCTTTCCAGACTGGTTTCACAACCGGCATTCTTTTACAGAAGGGTACTGCTCTTCCCAATCCTCTTCGAAGGCAGAACAGCCTTTCGATAGGTGAGCTGTAGCAGGTGGATTTATGGGACTCAGTTGCTGCTGCGTTACACAGTACGTGTGTTTTGCAGAGTTGCCATACGATGAAAGAAAAGATCAGAGAGAGAATTCACTGTATTTCTGCCCACCAAAAACTCGTGTCTCACAGCCCAACGTGAACAAAGTAAGGCCACCCAGTTACCAGCTCTAGAGACTTGTGTTTCCCTCCCCTGTCATTTATAACCAAGTAATTACTAATTGACTTCACAGCAGACTTTGAGTGGGTGATAAGAATAAGAAAGTTCAACTGTACTCAGAGCAAGTACAGCCAGGCATAGCATGAACCTAGAAACAACATAACGAGCAGTACAAGCTGGTTTAGTAACAGAGCACTGAGTAACACCATGTCATTTACCTGCAGCAAGGCACAGCTGATGGACGTTACAGTAACAGCTCACAGCTTTTACTAAACAAACAAACTTTGGAGCTGAGCTAGGGTAGAGAGTAGAGCAACAGAAACCAGTCTTGATTCAGCATAAACATCTGGGAGTAGATACAGGTGGTTAAAATTTATTCCAACAGCTTTTGGCCCTGGTCTCCTCAGAAGCATTCTTTAGCAATGTCAGAAACAGTAGCCACACCCCCCTAAAAAGCTCAACTTATCTAAAAGGGCAAAGCAAATGGCTTGAAGTGTATAAACAATTTAAGCTCAAATAGTTAATAATACACAACTTTTTTGAGGCCTAGCATTTTTTTTCCCCTCTGCTGTATTTTCGAACTAGAAAAATTTCTTGGAATAAGGAAGTACTGAAGTCGACTGGGCATAAATGTTAGAAGCAGCTCGAAAGAGCCAAAGTAACAGGGTGCTGGTGGGGTTCTCTTTTAGTCTGTTACTTGTCGTAGCCTCTGGCATCACTGATAAAGAGATTTTGTAAAAGATATCCAAAGGTAGAAATACATTTTTTTTTTTTTTTTTTGTAATTGTAAGCATCCCTTTAAAATGTGAGATTATAAATTAGGATGCCTTTTCATCTAACTTATTGCCACAGTGTTGAAGAGTTGGTGGAATGGTTGTCTAGAAATAAGAAAAAGCCTATGGAGATGAGGGAGAATTTTGCACTTCTGGGGATAGCCGGGATTCCAAAGCACTGGAATATAAAGCTTTAATCCTAATGTGACAGTGGTGGAATGTAAGCCGTGTATCTGACCATTAATAGAAAGCTGTTATAAATTCCATATATATTGCTTAAGTCATACATTGGCTTAATGATGACAGAGAGACTGTGAAGTGCTATCATTCAAGGAGGGTGATAAGGCTTCCTCTGCTGCCTTGTGCTGCTTAGGATGAAATGTGTGGAATTAATGAAGGGGAATAATTCATGAGAGGAGATATTTGAGGTACAGGTTATGACATCAATTTGTATTAAGTAAATATAAGAAGAGCACTGAGGTGTGTGCATTCACTTTTTCAGTGTTAGTGTCAATCAGTGAGGCTGAGTGTGCGGGGTTTGAGTTGGAGTTCAGAGTCTGACCTGTGTGTTAGCTTGTAACGAGTCTGCCACCCATGGGTTTAGACTGGCTTTGATCGCATTAGTTTTCATCTGCGTAACTGGAAACGCACCCTAATGAGGGAGAAGTTCTGGGTTAGAGTAAAATGATTCTAGATATGGAAGATGAAAGGTAGGATCATCAGCTATATTAAGTAAAAATATTGTCATGGTTTTTGAGCTAGAATTTAAATTTGTTACTCTGCTAGCACGGGTTGACTCCATATGCTGTCTTCATACATAAATGCATCTGAAAACTGTCAAAGCCTGTGCTGCGAAGGAATGTATGCTGTCATAGTAATCTTTAATGGATCTGGAATTGGAGAGGAGTAGAAGTCATACTCTGAAACCAGTTTTGATCTGCTTGCTAAGATTCAGCAATTAGCATGTGTCTAAGTTCATCCACATGTGAAATTGGATAAAGTAATACTGACATCTATCAGCACACAAAAATAGCCTTGATTTTCCAGAGCAGTGGCAGGTTTGTTACTGACCTGCAGAACACCGGGACAGATGAAGGGGAGCGATGGTATTAGCACTGCGTTCAGTACAAATGCTAGGTATCTCAGGTCACTTTGAAAGATAGTCAAATAAAATTTTTTTTTTGGGGGGGAGGGGGAGAGAGAACTGCCTGAGAAAGCATAGAAACTAAATCTTTTGCTATTTTTTTCTTCCTGGGGTTTAAGTTTTTGGTAACTTATGTCAACAACGTTTTTTAAAGAGCTTGAACCGTGCCCATAGAAAAATGCTATCAATTTATTTTAACTATGTGGTATCCATGTAAATTGGCCTAGAAACTAGAAAATGTTGATAATGGTGAGAGACTTGATTTCTTCTTTTAAGTTAAGTTTTAAAGCTCGTTTTATTTATTTTTTATTATTATTTAACTGAAACAGAGATATTTCACTTGTGAAGAACCTTTTGTATCACGTGACATGTCCTTTAAATTTGGATATTAGTTGAAAATAAAATTTGAATATGTTATTTGGCCTATTTGATATGAAGAAGTGCATACTTGTGGTTATATATTCCTGTTGCAGCCAGAGTTCCTGTTTATTTTCTTAAAGTATTCGAAGCAAGCACCTCTGTGTGTCTAGCACCTAGCAAATGTGCTGGAACACTTGGTAGGGATAAGGCATTGCCTGCTCTGAGTTTTTCTGTGAAATATGGTCATGTAAGTTTCAAATATGTGAAGTCAGAGATAAGGTGAGTGATTGTAGCAGGAAAGGAGGAAGAAAAGAGCTGACGATTTTGGTAGGGAGGGCAGTTTAGCACAGATGGAAAATAGGCCTTTACTCTGGAGGAGTGTAGCAGTAAAAGCAGCGTGAAGGGGCAGAATCCTGTGAGGTGCAGCTCAGAACCTTTGAAGCTGCGTAAGGGTTAGGAAGGCTCAATGCAGAAAGGAGGGCTGTCTGAGTTGGAAGACAGGGTTGCAGTGAATTACTATGCTCTTGATTTAAAAAAATAATAATAATAAAAAGAGATGATAAATTTTGAGTAAATCCTAAGATGTGTTTGGAGAAAGTATTACTTCGTTTGCAGTTAGACTCAGCTTTTTTTGTGGTCAGCAAGCTGCCACTCTTGCTATGCTTTGTATGTTCCCTGATGCAACGGGGATCCCTAACTCGGGGGACTTCATTCTTTTGGGACTGATCGTTACAGTACAGGAGTAAATAATAGCCTGTTTGTGTCAGCTGTGAATCGAGCAGCATTAGTTTATGAAAGGATGAAAAAAAAAGACCTTAGAGGTTTTATTTTGATGCCATTAATTTCATGTTGTCCAACTGTTTCTTTTTTTTTTTTTGTGTTGCCATTTGTTCAACTGTCTTGTCTTTGGCTTTTACAAGGAGCTACAGTTTTATTTGCACAATGCCTCAATAGATATATTTTATTACAAATTAAAGTGTTGATATATCCTTTTGCCCACACAAACTCGTAAGCATAAAGACATCCAGTAAATCTTAACAAAACTGCAAATAAGTAGTGCACATAATGAGTTTCTCCTTCACGTTGCATGAAAAATGTGATGGCAAGTACTGCGTTCGATCTAAGAGTATTGAACTGATGATTGCCAGCAGCAGAACTTTCACACCAAATCTTAAATCTGCTGAAAGTGCAGGCATCACCATAAAGCTACTTGTTTAAAATAACTTCAGAAGGTCTTTAAAAGTTCTTTGGGGTATTTTTAATGTTACCCTGTTATTTTGTAAGATATGGATACAATACATATACTATGCATAATGTGGATGTAATAGTCACTGTTTTGTCAGACTGGATATAAAAGCATACATAAAATCATAGAATGGATGGTTTGGGTGTTGGAAGAGATGTTATGTTAAGGATCACCCAGTTCCAGCCCCCTGCCGTGGGCTGGGACACCTCCCACCAGACCAGAGTGCCTAGGGCCCCATCCAGCCTGGCCTTGAACACCTCCAGGGATGGGGCATCCACAGCTTCTCTGGGAAACCTGTTCCAGGGCCTCACTGCCCTCTGAGGGAAGAATTTCTTCATAATGTCTAATCCAAGGCTACCCTTTTTAATTTAAACCAGTATCCCATGTACTGTCACTGCACTCCCTGACAAAGAGTCCCTCCCCAGCTTTGTTCTAGGCCCCCTTTACGTACTGGCTTAAATCACTTTCCAGCCTGGGAGTGTGCTATTTTTATTTTAATTTGGCAGTATTATAAAGATTATTGATTATTTTCAAAATCTGGATTTGAATTCTGACCCACAAATATTGAGTGTTTGGATTCATATTACACTTTATTTTTAGGGTAACGTATTTCTATTCTGTCAGGCTGACAAAAACCTAAATTCCTCTCAGTGCTTTGATACTGGATATGTCCCATTGAGAATCATCTGCTTTAATGGCATTTGACTTTGGGTTTCCTCTCTGGGAATCTTTTGCCCTTTGTAGGCTGATTTCTTGCTACCCTTTATAAATGTACGTCCTGGCATGTTCCGTCTACTCAGTGAGATTTTTCTTTTTGCGTTGAGCAGAATTTGGGCTTTTGCTTCCAATCTACTCCTCTTGTTTGAGCAACTTCACAGATGTTGTAGCAACAAATGCGTTATCGCTCTGTTGGTATACTGTGTTCTTTGTTTCAGGGCTGACGAGAATGTGCTTTGAAACATGGGTGTCTGCTATGCTTTGCAATCCATGCAACATCTCTCTGTCAGGTTTGTGTCTCATGAGAAAGCCCAAGTAAGGTAGCATTTCTGACATTCTGACATTAGTCTTGTATGGTGCTGATTTTCAGTTTTCTTACCCATCT